CCAGGCCCCTTCCCGGCCCGGCCCCTGCCCCAGGGGGCCCCGCTCGGAGGGAAGGTAAGAGAGACCCGCCCCCCCCCCGTCACCCCCGGGCTGCTCCCAGCGGAGCTGGCTGCGATTCCCGTCCTGGGCCCGGGAAAGCTGCTGCCAGCTCCCGTTATATGCGGGGCCGGGCAGGATAAGCCAGCCTCGGCCGGGCAGAACAGGCCCATTGGGGGGGAGGGATTCCCCCATTTCTGAACCAGGAAACGCCCCCCTGGGCAGGGCTGGGAAAACTGACCAGACTCCCAGTGCTGGAGCCTGAACCCACTGGCCAGAGCCTGCTGTGAAATACGAAGGGAAACTGTTGGGATCCCTGTCCCCGTCGCTGACACAGAGGGCTGCTTCCTGTATCAGCCTGTGGCTGGCAGGCGTGTGGGAAATGAGAAGACCCTGGCCTGCTCCACCTGCTGGGGGGACAAGGAGCTCTCACCTTCTCCCCACCCCCTGAAGTCCCCTGGCTGCTCTGAGCGGGGGGGGCGTATTCTGCTTCCCCAGGCCTCCTCCCCCGTTACTAGTGGGATTGTGGCTGGGGCAGCAGGTAGTCAGTGCAGGACTCTTTGTTGTTCCAGATGCCGGTGACCTTCGAGGATGTGGCTGTGTATTTCACCCAGGGGCAGGGGGCTCTGCTGGACCCGACTCAGAGAGCCCTCTACAGGGACGTCATGCAGGAGAATTACGAGATGGTGACCTCGCTGGGTAAGGGATTCCTGTGCCCTGAGCTACTATAAGCCGTGGGGTCTGCATGTCTGACTCTGCTCGGTTGGATTAGGAAGGAATGGGTACCATAGTGCCGTGGTTCTCAAACAGGGGCCCCTGTGGGGCTGCGAGCAGGTGTCAGGGGGGCCGGCAAGCAGGACCGGCATTCGATTTGCTGGGGCCCAGGGCACAAAGCGGAAGCCCCACTGCATGGGGCTGGAGCTAAAGCCTGAGCAACTTAGCTTTGCGGGGTCCCATGTTGTGTGGGACCCTGGGTATTTGCCCTGCTCCCTACCCCCTAATGCTGGTCCTGGCTTTTATATACAAAAAACAGTTGGTGTGGCAGAGGTGGGCTGTGCATTTTTAGACCATGGTGGGGGTCCTCAGAGAGAAAAAGATTAAGTACCCCTGGTAGAGTCCACAGCTCCACAGTGAGAGATACTTTCATCTCCATACCCCATGCAAGGGAACAGGGGAGAGAGAAACCTAATGGACAGGTTAATTCATCCCCATCTCTCCAGCTTTCAAGGGGCCAGAAGCAGGGGATTGTCCTGCCTGTATTATTTCTCCTTCACACACCATTCACTGGCCCTCTTGGGACTAGCTCCATCCCTGGGGAGGGCTCTCGGTGCTGCAGGCTCAGGGGGTGCTGGCACAGTTTGTACAGTGGGGGTGTTGAGAGCCATTGAACCAAACTGTAAACCCTGGATATAATGGAACCCACTTCAAGCCAGGAGATGCGGCAGCTCCCCCAGCACTGCTGGTTCCAGCACCTATGTGCTGGTTTGGAAATAGGCAGGAGTTTAACACCAGAGCTGCGTGTGCCAGAAAGTCCCCCAGAGCGCATCTACCGAGACCTCCTAGTGAGGGTGTGACAACACCCCCCACCCCAGATATCTGCTGCTCCCAAAGGGTCTGAGTTACCACAGTCCCTTTTAGGGTCAGGTTAAACTCAGGGAATGTTCCTTGTGAGAAATATTTGACCAGTGCTCCATGCGCCCTGAACTTGCCTGATTTCACCCCCTGCGCAGGATTCCTCATTCCCAAACCTGACCTGATCGCCCGGCTGGAACGAGGGGAAGAGCCGTGGTTCCCGGATCTCCAGGCCGATGAAGAAAGGGAGAGCCCAAAAGGCTCCTGCACAGGTGAGGAGTCAGGGAAACTGAGACTGAACCACCTTGAGAGTGAAGGAAAAAGCTGGGACTCCCAAAATGTGCTGTGAGCGAGAGCCCTCAGTTCTGCCCCGTCTCACCCAGGTCAGGGCTGCAGTCAGCAGGTGTCATATTATGAAGGCAAATATTAGTTACAGCTTCCCACTCATCCTGTTAGCTGTCGGGAATTTCCTCCATGACTTTCCTTCCGTGGGAGTGTTCGGGTGGGATGTGGAGGCAGAATCCAGTGTCTCCATCTCCCCAATAGTTACTGTGTTGTGTTTTCCCTCTTTGCTATTCCCCTTTCTGTCCTTTCTCCCCGGCACAGGCAGTGACTCCTGTCTGGATTCTCTCTCTCCCAGCAGGTGATAGGACAGTGAATGAGAACAAGGAGGAGAATCAGCAGGAGGAAGGTCCTGGGAAAGCGGAATCGCAGGAGTTGGTTTTGAAAAGAGCTGAAGGGAATTTTTCCCAGTGCTTGGAACAGGGAAATGCCTGGGGAGATCAACACAGATCAGAGATGCAGCTGGGAAACTATCCTGGGAAGAAACTGGATGAATCTATTGAACGTGGCAGAGGATGCAAGGATCCCAAGGAAACTACAGTACAGCAGATAAGTCACAATGAAGAGAAACCTTACAAATGTCTTGACTGTGGGAAAAGTTTCCGTTTCAGTGCCAGCCTTATCAAACATTGGAGAACCCACACAGGAGAGAAGTCCTATAAATGCTTAGAGTGTGGGAAAAGTTTCAGTGAGAAGTCAAACTTTATTACACACCAGAAACTGCACATAGGAGAGAAACCCTATAAATGCCTGGAGTGTGGAAAAAGATTTAGTCAGAGGTCATCGCTTATGGCACATTACAGATCCCACACAGGAGAGAAGCCCTA